GGTGTTCTCAGTCTTTTAGGACAGGACTGTCAGCTCTTTAGGGTGGGGCTATCATTCATTTGGGGTTGGGCTATCAGTCCTTTAGGCCTGATGTGTATTTCTCCATCACCTGCTGCATGTGTTGTGTTTGTTTCCTCCGCAGCTGCTAGTCGACCTTTACCGGTTACGTTTCACCGAGGTAAAGTATGATTTCTCTGAATATATGCAGCCGGTGACTGTCTCTGTCAGACGTGCGCTGGTGTGTGTTTCAGCGTTCGATATGGTGCACGATCCACTGGTGGCTCTGGAAACTCTGATCTCGCTGGGCTTCGAGAGGGTTTTGACCAGCGGCTGTGACAGCTCGGCTCTCGAGGGTTTACCGGTGATCAAACGCCTGGTGGAGCAGGTCAGAGACACACAACACTGCAGACACTCACATCTACACTCCAGCTCATCCATAATCTGCTCTTCTGTCATTCTGCGCACAGGCAAAAGGCAGAATAGTGATAATGCCAGGTATGTTTGATTTCACATCCTCACTCTTTTCTAACTAAACACACTCGGCCGGATCCAGCAACACGCAATAATGTCTGATCTACAGATATACGGTGTTGTAACACAGCTGTGTGTGTGTGTGTGTGTGTGTGTGACTCTGTTGTTGTCAGGAGGTGGAATCACAGAGAGAAACCTGCAGAGGATTCTGGAAGGTTCTGGATCTCAGGAGTTTCACTGTTCTGCTCGATCCAGCAAAGACTCCAGCATGAAGTTCAGGTGGTTCCAGATCAAATTTACTATTTAATTAAATAAATAGTTAATAATATGATGAAAATGCATGAAATTGTAACATTGTAAACCTAGATTGTCATAGGAGGAGGATGAGGGTTGCCAGGTGAACCCCACCCCCTTCTCTAATGTTAGGAATTTGTATTGCAATACCTACATCAACCACTAAGTGTCAACCCTACACTGTAAAAAACAACAACATATATATATATATATATCTGTTAATGCAGGGTTCCCAAACTTTTCAGCCCGCGACCCCCAAAATAACAGTTCCAGTGACTCGTGATCTCCAAACTCCTCAGAATATAAATATACTTTTATATAACATTGCGCACACAACAATAGGCCTATAAACACAAGCATATAGTGAATTTACCCTGTATTAAATGATGATGATGGTGCAGGATCAACATTAGTAAATTTGCTTTATTCACATGTGTGTTTTGTCCTGTAGGAACAGTAATGTGTGTATGGGAGGCTCTCTGTCTGTACCTGAATATGCAGTGAAAGTGGCGGACGTGACTAAAATACGAGCACTCAACGCCATCGCCAAAAACACTCTCTAGGACACACGGAGCAGCGCTCACTTACAGCTGCAGAATATTAAATGTGCTGTACGGTGTTACACGAAGGACACTCTTAAAGTTCAGGATGATGTACAGTATGTTGAATATTATGAAGCATTATGAGCATTACAGCATTATGAAGCTGATTTATAACAGTTTATGATGCAGTTACTGTTGGAAATTGCATTAAAAAATTATTAAAAATCAACTGCACTGCTTCAATTGATCGTGTACGGGATTTTCAGCTGTGAAATTCAGCCTTGCTTCTCTTGATATATGTTGATAGTTTACAGTACAGCAGAATCCATCCATGTGATCATTTTGTCTGTTGTTTATTAAATAAAACATGTAAATAAAAAAATGGCGGGTCAGTTTTAAATATCATCCACACACTGTAAAAGAAATACCCCTGCATTCCCAATACTGACAGTAACTAATGTAAACAACAAAGAATCAGATTGTAATTTGCTCGTCTTATTTATTGTGTTACATACAATTACATCTGAAGCAATAAACCGTTTTTTTTAAACAAGAATAAAAATGAGACATTTATTTAGGTAATAAAAGAAAAACTAGTGAATTTACACTCACCGGCCACTTTATTAGGTACACCTGTCCAACTTCTCCTTAACACAAATTAGTAATCAGCCAATCACATGGCAGCAACTCACTCACTGCATTTAGGCATGTAGACATGGTCAAGACGATCTGCTGCAGTTCAAAATGAGCATCAGAATGAGGAAGAAAGGGGATTTAAGAGACTCTGAACGTGTCATGGTTGTTGCTGCCAGAAGGGCTGCTCTATGTATTTCAGAAACTGCTGATCTACTGGGATTTTCACGCACAACCATCTCTAGGGTTTACAGAGAATGCTCCGACAAAGAGGAAATATCCAGTGAGCGGCAGTTCTGTGGGCGCAAATGCCTTGTTGATGAGGTCAGAGGAGAATGGCCAGACTGGTTCCAGCTGATAGAAAGGCAACAGTAACTCAAATAAGCACTCGTTACAACCGAGCTCTGCAGAAGAGCATCTCTGAACACACAACACGTCCAACCTTGAGGCGGATGGGCTACAGCAGCAGAAGAGCACACCGGGTGCCGCTCCTGTCAGCTAAGAACAGGAAACTGAGGCTACAATTCACACAGACTCACCAAAACTGGACAATAGAAGATTGGAGAAACGTTGCTGCTCTGATGAGTCTCCATTTCTGCTGACACCTTCGGATGCTCGGCTCACAATTTGGCTCACAATTTGGCCTCAACAACATGAAAGCATGGATCATCCTGCCTTGTATCAGCGGTTCAGGCTGGTGGTGGTGGTGTAATGGTGTGGGGGATATTTTCTTTGGGTCCATTAGTACCAATTGAGCATCAACGCCACAGCCTACCTGAGTATTGCTGCTGACCATGTCCATCCCTTTATGAGCACAGTGTCTCCATCTTCTGATGGCTACTTCCAGCAGGATAACGCAGCATGTCATAAAGCTCAATCATCTCAGACTGCTTTCTTGAACATGACGATGAGTTCACTGTACTCAAATGGCCTCCACAGTCACCAGAGCTCAATCCAATAGAGCAGCTTTGGGATGTGGTGGAACGGGAGATTGGCATCATGGATGTGCAGTCGACAAATCTGCAGCAACTGTGTGATGCTATCATGACAATATGGAGCAAAATCTCTGAGGAATATTTCCAGTAGCTTGTTGAATCTCTGCCACCAAGGATTAAGGCAGTTCTGAAGGCAAAGGGGTCCAAACCGGTACTAGTAAGCTGTACCTAATAAAGTGGCCGGTCAGTATATATATATAATTGAGTCATTTTTTGCTTTTGGTTTCTGTTGTTTTATTTTAATGTAACATTATTATTATTATTATTATTTAGTTTTATGGTTTTTGATGATGTTTTGATGTAAATTAGTTATTTTATTTGTTAGACCTCCAGAAGAACAGCCACTAGCCCTCCCAATGTGGGTCTAAATAAACACTGAACACTGGAAATTAAATATAAAATCCCCTTTCTAATGGTTTAGGGGGGATTATCCAGTAACATGAGCAGAAGTGCTGTGTAATGCTCATATTGTCAGTCATGCTGATGTTGTGTCCTTGGGTCGCAGCACACACTGTATATCTTATCATGTCTGATGTAATCATTAACAGTAAAGCTCTGGGCCAAAGATGATCCCGTCCACAACACCTTATAAACCTTCTTTATAGGAATCAGAATTAATGTGCAGTGATTTCCTTTTATTGCTGATGATGGATATTAATCTTGTTTCAGCTCTTGTGTGTATTCAGGGAACGTTTAATCTAATCTGTGCAGCAGGAGTGACGCTCAGCTAATGTCTCGCACGTGTGTTTGTTTGCTTTGATTATTACACGTTCACGTTGTTAATAGTTGTTGTGTGGTTAAAGATGTCCTCGTGACTGTGTGTTATTGTAATATTAGGTAAATCTGTGTTCTTAATAAGTGTACTGATGTTGTAGGAACATTAGCCATGTGTGTTTCCCTCTGCTCGTGGGTAGCGCTGCTGTGTTTATGTCTCTTTAATGATTGTGTGTGTGAGACAATTACAGGAAACCCAACCCTGAGCAGCAGATCAAGAGAATACCTCTGTCCCACTGAGTCTGTGTGTGTGTGTGTGTGTGTGTGTGTGTGTGTGTGTGAGAGAGAGAGAGAGAGAGAAAGAGAGTGAGTGAGTCTGTGTGTTTATATGTATGTTTGTGAGTGTGAAAGTCTGTGTGTGTGTGTGTGTGTGTGTGTGTGTGTGTGTGTATATGTCTGTGAATATATGTGTGTGTGGATGCGCTTGCATGTGTATATATTTGTGTGTGTGAGTTAATGTCTGTTTGTGTGTGTTTATATGTATGTGTGTGTACGTGAAAGTGTGTGTGTATATGTGTGTGTGTTTGAGCTAACATGTGTATATTTGTGTGTGTAGATGTGTGTTTGTGTGTGTGTATATATTTCTATGTCTGTAAATTTGTGTGTGTGTGTGTGTGTGTGTTTATATGTATGTGTGTGTGTTTGTGTGTGTGTGTGCTTGCACTCGCATGTGTATATATGTGTGTGTTTGTGTGTGTGTGTGTATCTGTGTGTTATTATGTATGTTAGTGAGTGTGAAAGTGTGTGTGTGGTGTGTGTGTTTGCGTGTGTGTATATATTTCTATGTCTGTAAATTTGTATATGTGTGTGTGTGTGTTTATATGTATGTGTGTGTGTGTTTGTGTGTGTGTCTGTATATATGTGTATGAGTGTGTGTGGTTGCACTTGCATGTGTAAACGTGTGTGTGCATGTTTGTGTGTGTGTGTATATCTGTAAATTTGTGTGTTCATATGTATGTGTGTGTCTCTGTGTGTCTATGTATGTCTGTGAGTAAAAGTGCATGTGTGATGTGTGTTTTTAGTGTGTGTATATTGTATGTGTGTGTGTTTGGGTGTGTATATGTGTATTTCTGTTAGTTTGTGTGTGTGTGTGTGTGTGTGGACTTTACTCAGTGAGTAATGAGGGCTGAGCAGTATCTCTGCTTGTCTTCAGTGAGTGTGTTAAGGTTGAACTCAGTTTGGGGAAGACTCCCGACAGCCTCAGTGTGTGTGTGAGTGAGTGAGTGCGTGAGTGTGTGTGTGTGTCGTCTGTGTGTTTCCAGCAGTGTGTGATCAGTGTGATGGAAGAATCATGACCGCGGCTCTGGACAAATACTGCGGCTCCGTCTTCTGGGTGAGTTTCACTGGAACTTCTCTTGTCTCTCAGAGTTTTTGACTTGTTTCTCATCCAGATATCTACAAACTCTTAAATCAGGCAGCATTTTCCAGACAAGCACAAAATATAGTGTTGTTTACAGAAATAATGAGTCTAAATGAAGTGAGCTTTTAATTAAAACAAGCAAATTAACCTGTGAATGGGGGAAGCAGAATAATAATAACTTTCCTTTTGACGTAACATTATTTCTCTTCCTCCATTGTCAGATTATTTAGCTTGTTTTAATGTAAAACTCTTCATTTTGACTGATCTTTTCTAAAAAAAGACTATATATAGTGTTTGTCTAGAAAATGCTGACTGATTTAAGAGTTTTCGGATATTTGGACTGGAAACAAATCACAGACGCTGAGTAAGAGAGGCAGTTTTTGCTGTGTAACTCCTGCTTTCTCACCTCTAAATACGAACACAGTGAAGTTCCCTCATTTACCACAGTACAAAGTACCAAAGCAGGATTGTACACAGCAAAACCTCCTTATCTAGTCATGAGTTACAATCTGATTCCCAGCCAGAAAATAATCCTGGTGGTCTTCTCTTAACAAACACAACACTGTGAGATCAGATCCTGCGAGATTATTATGATTGCCTCAAGATTATTGATGTTTTTATTAGTTACACTGTACACAAGATCTGTTAATGAACAGTTTCTGTATTTAGTGTGTTTATTTATGGTGGTGGATTGCATTATGGGATGTTGATCTCTGCTCTGTCAATGTTTGATGTTAAAAATTCAACTCTACAGTTTAACAAAGTGACTTTTATTGACATTTTAGTCATTTGACATAATATAATGTACACTACCTGACTAAAGTCTTGTCGTCTATTCAAGTGTTATGAACAGTAAATACTAGCTATACTTCTAGTTGCTGATCTGGTGTCAGAAGTGTCTCTATGAAAGGTGAAGGCCTCTTGATTTTGCTGATTTGAGCTCAATAAATCTGATCATGTGTTGATGTTGACTGATTTGATGAGGACAGTGCGCTCTGACTCTGCTCAGACTAAAGTCTCATCACTGAACAGAAATAATGTCCAGTATAGAATATAAAGTCCTGCTGCAGTGGAGACAGAATGAAGATTGTGTCTGACTCCGTCATGAGCTTGGAGGACTGCATCCATACATCTCTGACATGACTCAAACCACTGATTAATAAAGTCATCTGGAATGGTGAAGAAAGCCTTCAGCAGACTTCATCAAGAGTCTGTGTGTTCATCTTCAACGCCTCCTCCTTCATCAGCTCAATAATGTTGATGTCTGGTGACTGGGCTGGCCAATCCTGGAGCAGCTTGAGCTTCTCTGCTTTCAGGAGCTTTGATGTGGAGGCTGAAGTATGAGCAGGAGCGCTATCCTGCTGGAGAATTGTCCCTCTCCTGTGGTTTGTCATGTAATGGGCAGCACAGATGTCTTGATACCTCAGGCTGTTGATGTTGCAGATCTCTCCATACTGAATGAACCCCAAACCATGATTTCTCCTTCACCAAACTTGACTGATCTCTGTGAGAATCTTGGTCCATGCTGGTTCCAGTAGGTCTTCTGCAGTATTGGTGATGATTGATGCAGATCAGCAGATGATCCAGCTTCTGACACTTTTACACATCATCAACTAGAGGTCCAGTTATTATGTGTTGCTCTCACAACTGAGATCCACAACAAGACTTCTGTCAGAAATAACATCTAGAAAAATTGTGAAAAACAGCAGGAAATGTTCTGCAGTTGATTACAAGGTGTTTGTAGTGTAATATACAACACAACACACACACAATACAGCACTGCAGACTGTTACACATGATCAGAAACGTCTCTTTTTTTATGACTTTACAAGGTTAAAAGTTGTTGGAGGAAAGATCAGGATCAGTGATGGAGTTTGCACTGCACACTCACGGTTTTTAAATAATTGGTGCGTTAATCTAGTCAATAATATTATCATAGTCATATTAATTAGTCAGCGAGCGCAGTGAGGAAGGTGTTGTGCTGTCACGTCTGTGTTTTGTATCCCCTAAGAATGTAAAATAAAGCTATACAAGTGTTTATTTAATGAGTGCGAAATCATGACCTGCTGAAGAAAGATCAAGATCCCATAATGCAGTTCAGAAGCAGAAATAATAATAAAAAAACATCAACCATAAAATACGAGAAAATGCTAATTATGGACATTTCTTTACAGTGTATAAAGCTTAAAGTCAGCTGTTTACCTGTAAATGTAGCTTCATTACAGCCAGAGTGCCCTGTGTGTTTAGGACTTTATTTTAGCTGTGATAACTATTTTTTCATCTGGATTATTTAAAAATCACTCACTTATACTTGTTTTTCAGTGATTCAGTGATTTTAGTGTGTGTGTGTGTGTGTGTGTGTGTGTGTTTGCATGGGTGTATATATGTGTGTGTGTGTGTGTGTGTGTGTGTGTGTGTTTGCATGTGTGTATATATATGTGTGTGTGTGTGTGTGTGTGTGTGTTTGTGAGTTTGTGTGTGTGTTTGTGATTTTTTTGTGTGTGGATGAGTGTTTGTGTGTGTGTGAGTGCATATGTATATTTCTGTGAGCTTGTGTGTGTCTGTGTGTTTGCATGTGTGTATATTTGTGTGTGTGTGTGTGTGTGTGTGTGTGTGTGTTTGTGTGTGTGTGTTTGTGTGTGTGTGTGTGTGTATATATGTGTTTTTTGTGAGTTTGTGTGTGTGTATGTTTCTGTGTGTGTGTGTGTGTGATAGAGCGTGTGAGAGAGATATTCCATCGTTTTATTCAAACCTGTGGATTAATTGATTGATTGATTGATCGATCAAAACCTGTGTGTGTGTCAGAACTCATCGTTCCTGCAGCGTGAGGACCCGGATCTGCCGGTGTGTGTGGAGAGGACGGTGCTGGTGTGGCTGCCGCTGGCCTTCCTCTGGATCTGCTCTCCATTTCACTTCAGGAGTTTCTGTCAGAAATCTGCCAAAGCTCCGGCGTCAGCGCTCTACTACTGCAAACAGGTCACACACACACACACAGCACAAACAGCAGCAGCAGCACACACTCCACTACCACTGCTGATCTGCATCAAATACCGTAAACACAATGGAAACTACTGATATTAAAAGGGACAGGTCATCTAAAATTGTATATTTACGCAACAATGTGTGTGTGTGTGTGTGTGTGTTTCCATCAGGTTGTGGCCGGTCTGTTGCTTCTGACGGCAGTTGCAGAGCTCGCTGTGACTCTCGGGGAAGACTTCGGTCCGTCCAGCGATGAAGATGCTCAGAAAAACCCTGCAGTTCTCTACACCAATCCTGTTCTGTTTGCTGTGTCATGGGTGAGTGTGTGTGAGTGTGTGTGTGTGTGTGTGTGAGAGAGAGAGAGTTGTATTGTCCTGGTATTACATTATGAGCAGCAAATGTCCCCACAAGTATAGCAATACCAGTCGATTTTAACCACTTGTTTTGTCTCCATGAGTAAAACGGCTCATGAATCAGACAGAATGAAGGGTTGTGAAGATGTCAAAGTGCAGATTGTTTGCTGTGAGAGTTGAGTTTAGAGGAGAGAATATACAATATGTACAGTAGAAACAGCATTACAGCTATGAGGAGAGACCACAAAATATTAAAACCCAACGCATGTGTGTGTGCGCAGATAGTGGTGATGTTGTGTCAGGAGTCGATGCGGCACCGGCTGATGTGTGTGGACTCCGGGAGCCTCTTCATGTTCTGGCTGCTGCAGGTGGTGTGTGCTGTTTTCCAGTTCCAGACGCTGCTGAGAGAAGCTCTCAGTCAGGTACAACACACACACACGCACACACACACACACACACACACACACACACACACACACACACACACGCACACACACACACATACACATATTCTGCAACTGCTGTATATGTGTTAGGCCAGCACGATACTGGGAAACCATATGATGTTGTTGAGCATTGCAATAACAATATTTCTTACAATATAACCCTAAAAATACTTTTAAATCATTTATTTTTCTCCTGATATTAAAATAAACTGGTTAAAAATAAGTCCAAAGACATGCAATACAGGTGAATTGGGTAGGCTAAATTGTCTGTAGTGTATAAGTGTGTGTGAATGTGTGTGTGGATGTTTCCCAGAGATGGGTTGCGGCTAGAAGGGCATCCGCTGTGTAAAAACTTGCTGGATAAGTCTAGTCCAAATATCTACAAACTCTTAAATAAAAAAAAAACATTTTCTAGGCAAGTTAAAATAATGTCTTGTTTTCAGAAATAATAAGTGAAAATGAAGTGAGTTTTACTTTCAAATAAATAATTTTTTTTAAAAGTATGTAGTATATAGTGAATAAAAATCGCAAGTATATAGTATAGAGTGAATAAACATTACAGTATATAGTAATACTTAATATGATAGTAATATAAAAGTAATAATTTTTCCTTCAAAAGTAAATAAACAGTAAAATAATAATAAAATTCCCATTCCAATTTTTAATGCATGAAATGTGACTGTGAACTGCAGCTGGACTCAAAAGTCTGTGTTTCGCAGGGGATCTCTGACGTGCCGCGCTTCTGCCTCTTCTACATCAGTTATGGGCTGCAGATTATTGCTCTGGTTTTATCCGCCATCGCTGACGTTTCACCTGAAGCCAAAAAAGTTGCAGAAACGGTACAGAAAACTGAATTTTTTTTCCTTTTCCCTTTTTATATCTGAAAGTTTACATTTGTAAAATGTAGAAAAAGTTAAATGAATCATGAAAAAGGGATAGTTCACCTAAAACAACTCTATTTACTCGCCCTGTAAAATAAATCTTACTGCCTTAATTTATTTAGTTAAATCAAATGAAATGTTCTAGTCAACTCAACTTAAATCAGTTGAAACCTGATTAACTTACTAAAATGAGTTCATATTAAAATAAGTTAATATTGCCTTATCACTTGTTAGTGACACACAAGTACTTTCATTTTTTTTAGTTTCTTTGAACTTCTTTGAAGTTTTTTTGAAGCTCTGTTAAACACTAAAATATTGTTGTAATGATGTTTTGAAGAATGCTGGAAACCGGTAACCATTGACTTCCAAAACTAATTGACTAGACAGGTTTTTAGCATTCTTCGAAATATCTTCTTTAGTGTTCAACAGAGGAAATAAACACTTAAAGGTCTGAAACAAGTAAAGGGTGAGTAAATAATAATAATAATAACAACAAGTCCTCACAGTAATATAGCTCTTCTCTGGACACTTAAAGCGCTTTACACATTTTTGGGATGGAATCTCCTCATCCAGCAGCAGTGTGCAGCATCCACCTGGATGAGGTGACAGCAGCCATATTGCACCAGACCACATAGCAGCTGACTGATGGAGAGGAGACAGAGTGATGAAGCCACTTATGATATGGGGACGGTTAGGAGGCCATGATGGAGAGAGGCTGGTGGGCAGATTTAGCCAGGATGCCGGGGTTAACCCCTACTCTTTTACCAAGGACATTCTAGGATTTATTAATGAGCACAGAGAGTCAGGAGCTCGGTTTAACATCTCATTTGAAAGACGGCGCTCACTGAGCAGTATAGAGTCCCCTTCACTATACTGGGGCGTTAGGACTCACACAGACCACAGGCTGAGCGCCCCCTGCTGGCCTCACTAACACTTTCAGCAGCAACCTAGCTTTCCCATGTGGTCTCCCATCCATGGTGCAGCCCTGCTTAGCTTCAGTGGGCGACCAAAAAAAACTGAATGCTCATTTTTGGGTGAACTGTCCCTTTAATTATGTAATAAATGTGCATCCATTGAGTTTACCGAGTGTAAATCTGTGCAGAATCCTGAGGCTAAAGCCACGTTTCTCAGCAGAATCACCTTTAACTGGTTCAACAGGTGAGATCATTTCTGTTACCACTGGAGTTTATTGTCTATTGTTTTACTCATTTGAATATGTTAAACACTTGATTCTGATTGGCTGATTAACATTCTATGCACTGCAGATTCTCTAATTTCTAGTGCAAATATCTACAAACTCTTAAATCAAGAAGCATTTGTAGACAAGCACAAAATATAGTGTTGTTTTCAGAAATAATGAGTCAAAATGAAGTGAGCTTTACATTAAAACAAGCAAAATAATCTGACAATGGGGTAAAAATGATCATCTCATGTCAAAAGGAAGAACCAGATTATTGTGCATGGAAACCCAGTCATTGAGTGTGTTTGTGCTCCTCCAGCATGGTGTGGAAGGGCTTTAAAAGGCCTCTGGTTCAGGAGGACATGTGGGATCTGAACAAAAACGACTCCACACACTTCATCTGTCAGACGTTCGAGGACGTGATGGCCAAGGAGCTGAAGAAAGCCCGCAACAACCTACAGAAGAAGAAAAGCAAGAAGCGCAAGACTGTAGATGCTGAGGGTCAGAACGGACTGGCCAAAGGGGTCAGTCAGGACGTGCTGGTCATGGTGAGAGAAAACACACACAATAATGCTGTTCTCAGATAAACTGTTAAATTCATATCCGCTCAGATCAATGTTCAGTTGGCTAATAGTTTAGTTTTGTGGCCAGTAGTCGTGTAATAAACAGCAAACTGCAAAAAATGCTAGTTCATGATGTGTAAAAGTGTCAAAAGGTGGATTTCTATGCTGAATCAGCTGTTGATCTGCTCAAATAAGCCTCATCTAGAGGACTTTGCCTTTCATATAAGACACTGTTGATACCAAATCATCAACTAGAAGAACAGTTATTTACCGTTCCTAAAACTTGAAGAGGCCACAAGACTTTTATCAGATAGTGAAGAGTTTTTGCCTTATTTCTAGTCCAAATATTTAAAAAAAATCTTAAATAAAGAAGCTTTTTCTAGACAAGTATTAAATATTGTCTTGTTTTCAGAAATAGTAGATCAAAATGAAGTGAGTTTTCCTTAAAGCTGATCTATAAAAGCAGATTATTTTAATTGTTTAAAAAAAAAACACTTAATTTTGACTCATTACTTCTAAAAAGCAAGACTATAGTTAATGCTTGTCTAGGAAATGCTGATTTAAGAATTGCTAGATGTTTGAACTAGACACAAAAGCTAGAATATAAAGCGAATATAATGAGATGCGCTGGTAATATGTTCATGTGTTTTAGGAGACAGAAACTGAAAAAGAGAGCAAAAAGAAGAAGAAGAAGAAGCAGAAGGACTCAGATTCAGACTATCCTCAGTCGTGGCTGGTTACTACCATAGTAAAATCATTTAAAGGTGTGCTTCTGGAGTCTGCGCTCTTTAAACTGCTCCAGGATCTGCTGTCCTTCGCAAGCCCGCAGCTACTCAAGTAAGTTTCTGCATGAATATAAGCATCTAAATATGAGAAATAAATCAAATGACACTAAAAAATATCTGTATTTTGTGTGTTTTGCGGTTGTGAATTGCATTATGGGATGTTGATCTTTGCTCCCTCCACTTCTGATGTTGAAAATTCGACCTTCACAGTTTAACAAAGTGACTTTATTTGACATCTTAGTCATTTAAAGTAATAATATAATGTATAAGAAATAATAACTAGACTGTGAAAAGCAGCAGAAAATGTGCTGCAGTTTATTACAAGGTTTCTGTAGCGTAATATACAACATCGACTCTGACAATAAAGCGCTGCACACTATTACACGCTCAGAAAAGTCTCTTTTTTAACTTTTCAAGGTTAAAAGTTGTTGGAGGAAAGATCAAGATCCCATAATGCAAGTCAAACGCAGAAATAAATGGGGGAAAATAAAAACATCAATCACAAAATATGGAAAACTGCTAATTTACGGATATTTTTAGAGTGTAAATGATCTGATAAAGTGCAGTGAAACACTTATATATAGAAAATATATATGTTGTGCTATACCGTATGTCACTGAATCACCTAAATGCAGTGACGCACACCAACGAAATCATGTGTGTTTGTTTTCCTGGTGTTCAGGATTGGACTTTATCCCTTCAACTCTCCCATTGAGAAACAAATGGAATGGATAAATCAATATTTTTGTCTGTAACTGGACCCCATTACACATTAGAGCTTTTTTTTAAATATTATTTGACCCTTATTAGACATTTCTTTCTAGTATTATGTAAATGTGTTCAGAAAGAAACTATAATATGTCCAAACATGGCTACATTTTAAATTCATACAACATAATTACAAGTTAAAAGTCCTCCTGCATGTCACAAGTGGTCTAAACCTTAAGACTCATCTTTAATAATCAAAGGCAAGGCCAGTTTATTTCTAGAGCTCATTTCATACACAGTGGCAATTCAAAGTGCTTTACATAAACAGGAATAAAAGAGACACGAATAAATCAAATAGAAACAATATAAGAACAGATGAAAACAGCGTGAAGACAGTTTTCCATATTCCAAAACAGCGGTGTATCATATTTTCTCACTTTACTCTGGGACTTCCCCTAAGTAATTTAAATACTAATATTTCATAAAAAGCATTCCTGCTTACAAAGATAATTGGTTCCTGCTTTGTAATCTCTAACACCCCATTCACACGGGGCTTCAGCGTCAGCGCTTGACAGATTGCTTGTCTGAAGTTGGGGCTGACGCGATCGTCATAGCAGCGTCAGCCAATGAAATTCAGTCAGCAATTGGCTACTGTCTGAGCTGGTTTATTTGCATACAGCGGTCTGATTGGCCCAACTTCTGTAGTGAGCAACGCCTCTGAAGCACCGCCGACAGATCCACAATGGAGTTCAGCAACGCCTGACGTCACCCATTCAAAGTGAATGGGAAGCGCTGAAGCTGATGTCCCGTGTGAATGGGCCGTTATTACACGGCTCTCTGGAATATTTGATTCTGATTGAATTATCTGATAGAATTACTGATAACAACTGATTAAACCAATAACACAGGTTTATCTGGGTAATACCAATCATCCTGACCATTAGCGAGAATATATATATACTAGGAAACACTCACACACACTCATTCACACACACACACACACACTCATACACTACGGCCAGTGTAGTTGATCAGTTCCCCTATAGCGCATGTGTTTGTACTGTGGGGGAAACCGGAGGAAACCCACGCCAACAGGGGAAGAACATGCAAACTCCACACAGAAACACCAACTGACCCAGCCGAGACTTGAACCAGCGACCTTCTTGCTGTGAAGCCATAGTGCTGACCACTGAGCCACTGTGTTGCCCTACACCCCTTTATGAAAATGAAGATAATTATCAATTTCTCAGTGAATAACGTCAAGTTGTCATGACAAAGACAAAAACAGGTTGTGATTTATTTGTTTATGTCAAGTTGTCATAACAAACAACAACATCTCGAGTGAATGACACTTAATAACAGTGGTTATAATCATGCATAAAGTCTCATTCACATAAAGGTTTCATGACGTCCCGTCAAGTAAAGTGTTCCTGAGTAATGCATCAGGATCTGCTTTGTTTTACCCTGTTAGTACTCTCAGAAAATAATGTGTTCTGTCACAGGTTAATGATCGCCTTCACTCAGAATAAAGACAGCTATGCGTGGACCGGTTACCTGTATGCGGTGCTGCTGGTGCTGGTGGCGTTCGTGCAGTCGGTGGTTCTACAGCAGTATTTCCAGCGATGCTTCATACTGGGAATGAAAGTTCGCACAGCTATCATGGCAGCTGTCTATAAGAAGGTAAACTGTAGCATCGGTTTATAATCCAGTTTAATGATGTCTGCGTTAGGGCTGTTTGATTGCATGACTGTTTTTTAGATACACAATTTTCAGACGGCGCTCTAGGCTAGTTTATAACAGCAGACGGCGCTCTAGGCTAGTTTATAACAGCAGTTGGCGCTCTAGGCTAGTTTATAACAGCAGATGGCGCTCAAGGCTAGTTTATAACAGCAGACGGCGCTCTAGGCTAGTTTATAACAGCAGACAGCGCTCTAGGCTAGTTCATAACAGCAGATGGCGCTCTAGGCTAGTTTATAAAAGCAGACGGCGCTCTAGGCTAATTTATAACAGCAGACGGCGCTCTAGGCTAGTTTATAACAGCAGATGGCGCTCTAGGCTAGTTTATAACAGCAGATGGCGCTCTAGGCTGGTTTATAACAGCAGATGGCGCTCTAGGCTAGTTTATAACAGCAGATGGCGCTCTAGGCTAGTTTATAACAGCAGACGGCGCTCTAGTTTGGTTTATAACAGCAGATGGCGCTCTAGGCTAGTTTATAACAGCAGATGGTGCTCTAGGCTAGTTTATAACAGCAGATGGCACTCTAGGCTGGTTTATAACAGCAGACGCGCTCTAGGCTAGTTTATAACAGCAGATGGTGCTCTAGGCTAGTTTATAACAGCAGATGGCACTCTAGGCTGGTTTATAACAGCAGACGCGCTCTAGGCTAGTTTATAACAGCAGATGGTGCTCTAGGCTAGTTTATAACAGCAGATGGCGCTCTAGGCTAGTTTATAACAGCAGATGGTGCTCTAGGCTAGTTTATAACAGCAGATGGCACTCTAGGCTAGTTTATAACAGCAGACGGCTCTCTAGGCTAGTTTATAACAGCAGATGGCGCTCTAGGCTAGTTTATAACAGCAGATGGTGCTCTAGGTTAGTTTATAACAGCAGATGGCGCTCTAGGCTAGTTTATAACAGCAGATGGTTAGTTTATAACACCAGATGGAGCTCTAGGCTAGTTTATAACAGCAGATGGAGCTCTAGGCTAGTTTATAACAGCAGATGGTGCTCTAGGTTAGTTTATAACAGCAGATGGCGCTCTAGGCTAGTTTATAACAGCAGGTGGTTAGTTTATAACAGTAGATGGCGCTCTAGGCTAGTTTATAACAGCAGATGGTGCTCTAGGTTAGTTTATAACAGCAGATGGCGCTCTAGGCTAGTTTATAACAGCAGATGGTTAGTTTATAACAGCAGATGGTGCTCTAGGCTAGTTTATAACAGCAGATGGTGCTCTAGGTTAGTTTATAACAGCAGATGGCGCTCTAGGCTAGTTTATAACAGCAGATGGTGCTCTAGGCTAGTTTATAACAGCAGATGGTGCTCTAGGCTAGTTTATAACAGCAGATGGTTAGTTTATAACAGCAGATGGCGCTCTAGGCTAGTTTATAACAGCAGATGGTGCTCTAGGTTAGTTTATAACAGCAGATGGCGCTCTAGGCTAGTTTATAACAGCAGATGGTTAGTTTATAACAGCAGATGGTGCTCTAGGCTAGTTTATAACAGCAGATGGTGCTCTAGGTTAGTTTATAACAGCAGATGGCGCTCTAGGCTAGTTTATAACAGCAGATGGTGCTCTAGGCTAGTTTATAACAGCAGATGGTTAGTTTATAACAGCAGATGGTGCTCCAGGCTAGTTTATAACAGCAGATGGTGCTCTAGGTTAGTTTATAACAGCAGATGGCGCTCTAGGCTAGTTTATAACAGCAGATGGTTAGTTTATAACACCAGATGGCGCTCTAGGCTAGTTTATAACAGCAGATGGTGCTCTAGGTTAGTTTATAACAGCAGATGGCGCTCTAGGCTAGTTTATAACAGCAGATGGTGCTCTAGGTTAGTTTATAACAGCAGATGGCGCTCTAGGCTAGTTTATAACAGCAGATGGTGCTCTAGGTTAGTTTATAACAGCAGATGGTGCTCTAGGCTATTTTACAACAGTAGACGGAGCTCTAGGCTAGTTTTTAACAGCAGACAGCGCTCTAGGCTAGTTTTTAACAGCAGACGGCGCTCTAGGCTAATTGTAATGCATACAGCACCATCTATTGGTAAAAACTAATCTCTGAGTCAATTCAAGAGAGAACCACATTGCAATTAGAAAATCTTAAAATCAGCGCACAATCATTTATTAATTCACAATCCATTGATTTTTCACCTCAGCCCTAGTCTGCATTCGCTCTGACAGTTCAGACATTGAGCTTGTGTTTGTGAATTCTCCTCATCCTCATCCTTGGGTTTGTTTCAGTTGTTGGTTGTGTCTAATGTTCTCCTCCTCCTCGTCTGTGTTTCAGGCGTTAGTTGTGTCCAATGACTCCCGGAAGGAGTCGACAGCTGGAGAGATTGTGAACCTGATGTCCGCAGACGCTCAGAGATTCAACGACGTCACCAACTTCATCCACCTGCTGTGGTCGTGTCCGCTTCAGATCGCGCTCTCCATCGCCTTCCTCTGGATCGAGCTCGGACCGTCCGTTTTATCCGGTCTGCTGGTGATGGTGCTGATGGTGCCCATTAATGGATGGCTGGCCACCAAATCCAGACAATTCCAGGTGATGCACATTTATCATGAAACACTGACTGACTACTGCTGCTGTCAAAATGATTATACCCTGATTCCTTACTCATGTTGGATGTTGTTTTTCTGCAACTGAGGTGGAATACAGGTAAGTTTAGGTTGTGGACAGGTTAAGTGGTATGAGTAGGGTGTAATTGTTGGTTATGGTAAGGGACTAGTTTAGTTGTATTTGTGGGTTTAAGGTTGGGGTCACATTTAGTGGTATGGGTAGGGTTTAATGGTTGGTGAAGGTTAGGGACTGGTTTAGTGGTATGGGTAGGGTTTAATGGTTGGTTGAGGTTAGGGACTGGTTTAGTGGTATGGGTAGGGTTTAATGGTTGGTTGAGGTTAGGGACTGGTTTAGTGGTATGGGTAGGGTTTAATGGTTGGTTGGGGTTAGGGACTGGTTTAGTGGTATGGGTAGGGTTTAATGGTTGGTTGAGCTTAGGGACTGGTTTAGTGGTATGGGTAGGGTTTAATGGTTGGTTGAGGTTAGGGACTGGTTTAGTGGTATGGGTAGGGTTTAATGGTTGGTTGAGGTTAGGGACTGGTTTAGTGGTATGGGTAGGGTTTAATGGTTGGTTGGGGTTAGGGACTGGTTTAGTGGTATGGGTAGGGTTTAATGGTTGGTTGGGGTTAGGGACTGGTTTAGTGGTATGGGTAGGGTTTAATGGTTGGTTGAGGTTAGGGACTGGTTTAGTGGTATGGGTAGGGTTTAATGGTTGGTTGAGGTTAGGGACTGGTTTAGTGGTATGGGTAGGGTTTAATGGTTGGTTGAGGTTAGGGACTGGTTTAGTGGTATGGGTAGGGTTTAATGGTTGGTTGAGGTTAGGGACTGGTTTAGTGGTATGGGTAGGGTTTAATGGTTGGTTGAGGTTAGGGACTGGTTTAGTGGTATGGGTAGGGTTTAATGGTTGGTTGAGGTTAGGGACTGGTTTAGTGGTATGGGTAGGGTTTAATGGTTGGTTGAGGTTAGGGACTGGTTTAGGGGTATGGGTAGGGTTTAATGGTTGGTGGAGGTTAGGGACTGGTTTAGTGGTATGGGTAGATTTAATGTTACGGACAGGTTTAATAAATGGTAGGGGTAGGGTTAGGGTTAGACCTATGTATTTGTGAGGATAAGGACTTGTCTGATGGTGTGGTTAGGTTTAAGGTTTGGTTAAGGGTTTAGGGAGAGGTTCAATGATATGGGTATGTTTAATGGTTGGTTAAGGATTGGGGACAGGTTTAATGGCTGGTTAGGTTCATCAACTGGTTTAATAAATTGGTTAGGGTTTAACCTTTAGTTAACGTAAGGGACAGAATTAGTTGTATGGGTAGGTTAGATACTAAGGTATTGGTTAAGTCTTGTTTATTCATATGGTTATGTTTAAGCGATGGTTAAGAGTTGTGGACAAGTTAAGCGGTATGGGTAGGTTTAAGGGTTAGTAAAGTTTAGAGACATGTTTATGGTACGTGCAGATTTAAGTGTTAGTTGAGGATTTGGTTTAGGTGTACTGGCAGGTTTAATGGTTTGTTAAGGTTAGGGACTGGTTTAATAGTATGATTAGTGTTGGTTAATGTAATGGACAGGTGTAGTGGAATGGGTAGGTTAGGGACTGAGGTATTGGTTATGGGTTAAGAATTGTTTTAATGGTATGATTAGATTTAAGTGTTGGTTAAGGTGTCCGTGTGTTCATGTGTGTCCATGGGATGATTATTATTCAGTAACACCAACATGTTTCCTTTCAGATGCAAAACATGAAATTTAAAGACTCTCGCATGAAAATAGTGAACGACCTGCTGAATGGAATTAAAGTAAGTGAGTTTAAACCCTCCTCTATTAGTGTTCTTCATCTTCAGTTCAGTCAGATGAACTGGTGCTTGTGTTTTGATGATGTTGTAGATCCTGAAGTATTACGCCTGGGAAACATCCTTCGAGGCTCAGGTTCAGGAGATTCGGGAAAAAGAGCTGAAGGTGATGAGGAAATTTGCCTACCTGTCCTCCGTCTCCACGTTCATCTTCTCATGCGCTCCAGCTCTCGTGAGTATAATGATGTCTTACAGCATTAAAGGACTTTATATTGTAAGACACCCGTGTGTTATGGCTAGTGTTGGGGGTAATTAGTTATAAAGTAACTCATTTCTGTAAATAAATTGCAGTGCTATTAAAAAAGTCAGGGATTTCTTTTCATTTTCAGGTAAATTAATTACAGTTGCTTACTATCTTTTTTTGCTTCTTTAAAGAAAAAATTGCTTAGATTTGACTCATAATTTCTGAAATGAAGACACTATTTTGTGCTCGTCTTGAAAATGCTTCTTGATTTAGGAGTTTTTAGATATTTGGACTAGAAACAGGATGAAAACTCTAAATCAGAAGAGCAGTGTATATTGAGAGCAGTGTGATCTATAGTGTTGTTGAAGTGTGTTATTGTTGGTTTGGTCTGCAGGTTTCTCTGGCCACCTTCGCTGTGTTTGTGTCTGTGAGTCCTGATAATATTCTGGATGCAGAGAAAGCTTTCACCTCCATCTCTCTCTTCAACATCCTGCGATTCCCACTGGCCATGCTCCCACAGCTCATCTCCATCATGGTCCAGGTACAAGATATTAATTAGACTTCATATTTACATGACAAAATATCTGTAAATTAGCAGCTTTCAGTATTTTGTGATTCATGTTTTTATTTTACCTTGTTTATTTTCTGTTTTTTCCTCCAACAACGTTTAGCCTTAAAAAGTTTTGTTCATTGTCATTTTAATAGTGTAAAGTGCTGTATTGTATGGGTTGGTGTTGTATATTATGCCTCAAAAACTTTATAATAATTTGCCTAATTACCCTAACTTTACCCTAATTACCCTAGTGAAGCCTTTACATGTCACTGTAAGCTGAACACTAGTGTCTTGAAGAATATCCAGTCTAATATTATGTGCTGTCATCATGGCAGAGAGAAAAGAAATCAGTTATTAGAGATGAGTTATTAACACTGTTATGATTAAACATATATTTAAAAAGTAGTTGGGAAGTATTTGGGAAAAAATGTCAGTTTCACATAATGTTCTCTTTATTGAAAATAATACAGATGATGTTGTGTTTTTTCTTTGTGCATTCAGACGTCTGTATCTAAGAAGAGACTGGAGAAATTTCTGAGCGGTGATGATCTGGACACAACGACAGTCACACATAACAGCAGCATCAGTAAACATCATGCTATATTATATCATTATATCATTTATAATTGTTTCAGAAAAGCTCAATTCAAGAGGTCAGTCACTTTTTTAAGAAACCACATGTGTTTGGATAGTAACTTGTCGTTAAACAGTGCAAAAAAAAAAAGCTTTTTCATTGAAAGTTTTTGTCTTGTTTCTAGTCCAAATATCTACAAACTCTTAAATCAAGAAGCATTTTCTAGACATGAAGAAAATATAGTGTTGCTTTCAGAAATAACGGAGAGGGGTCTGGATGCAGACCTGCTGCAGTGCAATCTGAGCTGCATCAAATGCTTTTTAATGCGCTCACATAACCCCACCCCTAACCCCACCCCTCACAGTGACATCACTCGCTCCATTGAATGCAGTGTCTGACCTTGCATCGCAGAGGCATGCAATCTCAGCTTGCATCATAAAGGCTGCATCCAGAATAAATGAAATAATGAGTCAAAATGAAGAGAGTTTTACAGTAAAACAAGCGAAATAATCTGCTAAAGGGGGAAGAGAAATAAACTTGTTCTTCCTTTTGATTTAATGTTATTTTTCTTATTCCATTGTCAGGTTATTTAGCTTGGCTGGAATAAAACTCTCTTCAGTTTGACTCATTATCGCTGATAACAAGACTAGATTTTTGTGCATGTCTTGAAAATGCTTCTTGATTTAGGAGTTTGTAGATATTTGGACTAGAAACAGGATGAAAACTTTGAATAACAAAGGATTATTGCAGTTTAGCCAAATGTTTTAATTTTCTCATTTTGTATTATTTAATTTATCATTATTTTTCCTTTAAGCCGCCGCAGTGAGCATGACCAACGGCACATACGCCTGGGAAAGAGACACAGAGCCAGTGCTCAAACAGTGAGTTTCACCATGTTTCAATACAAAAGTACATTTGATTTGAATCGTGTATTTACTGAGTGCAACAGATTTAATTGCAGATAACTTTACAATAAGGTTCATAAGTTAATGCATTTAACATAACTAATCATGAACAACACATGTACAGCATTTATTAATCATAATTGAACATTTACTAATTCATTATTAACATCTAAGTCCATGCTTTTTAACATTAGTTAATGCACCGTGAGTTAATAGGAACTCGCAATGAACTACTGTATTTTCATTAACATTAACTAACAGGAACAAACACTGTAGTAAATGTGTTGTCCATTATTTGTTCATGTTAGTAAATGCATTAACTAACATTAACTAATGAACCTTATTGTGAGTGTGACCAAGTGTGACCAAATTGCACAACAATGCATTTTAAAATGCAGCTGATTTATTTTGAGACGTTAAATTGCTTATTTTTTGCTCACAAAATGATCATTATTTTGTTAAATGATATTGTGGTTTACTGTCGAATGCTTGATTCAGATGTGGTGTGCTGTTATATTCAGATAAACGCACAGCTGGTGTTCAGCACATTACAGTTCTATATATAACAAATGTATAATTTACAGTTATTAGGGACGGCACGGTGGCTCAGTGGTTAGTACTGTGTCCTCACAGCAAGAAGGTCGCTGGTTCAAGTCTTGGTTGGGTCATTTGATGTTTCTGTGTGGAGTTTGCATGTTCTCCCCATGTTGGCGTGGGTTTCCTCCAGGTGCTCTGGCACAGTCCAAACACATGCGCTATAGGGGAATTGGCCATAGTGTATGAGTGTGTGTGTGTGTGAATGAGTGTGCATGGGTGTTTCCAAGTACTGGGTTGCAGCTGGAAGGGCATCCGCTTTGTAAAACATATGTTGGAATAGTTGGTGGTTCATTCAGCTGTGGCAACCCCTGATTAATAAAGGATTAAGCTGAAGGAGAATGAATGAATGAATGAGTGTGTGATTCAGGAGGCGGAGACAAAAATAGGTATAATGAGAGTCTTTAAGTTAATATTTGCGATATAAAATGTCCCTAATACACATATAATATGCTTTTTCCAATGATATTCTAAGAGTGTGTGAGTTGTGCAAGTAAAGCAGACAGTACTTTTGGATTCAGCACCTCAACATGAGTAATAAAGAACATTACTTTAAGTGATAAATGCAATGTAGTATGACGGATACACTGCTAAATAGAACCATATAAAGAAAATATCAGACATAGATGTATAATTTAAGAAGATACATACTAGAAACAAGTCTATTGACAGGGCAGTGTGATAATTCAACTTGAAATGATGTCATGATTAAGTTTTTTTTCCTGGCAGCACGGTTGCTCAGTGGTTAGCACTGTGGCCTCACTGCAAGAAAGTCACTGGTTTGAGTCTCAGCTGGGTCAGATGGGTTTTCTGTGTGGAGTTTGCGTGTTCTCCCCGTGTTGGCGTGGGTTTCCTCTGGGTGCTCCTCCAATCCAAACACATGCGCTATAGGGGAACTGATCAACTAAACTGGCCGTAGTGTATGAGTGTGTGTGTGTGTGTGTGTGAGAATGAGTGTGTATGGGTGTTTCCCAGTGATGGGTTGCAGCTGGAAGGGCATCCACTGTGTAAAACATATGCTGGAATAGTTGGTGGTTCATTCCACTGTGGCGACCCCAGATAAATAAAGGAACTGAACCAAAGGAAACTGAATGAATGAAGTTTTTTCCTTAAAATAAACTAAATAAACTGCTAATTTGGCAAGCAAAATTGTTGTTTTAAGGAAACAATCCCTTAAATTTGACTCATTATTTCTGAAAACAACAGAATATTGTGTGCTTGTCTAGAAAATGCTTCTTCATTTAGGACAATTTTGATATTTGGGCTAGAAATGAGATAATAATGAAGTAAGAAATGCATTTTTGCAGTGATCATCAGCTGTGAGTGTGTTTGTTCTGTTCAGGGTTTCTCTGGACATTAAACCGGGTCGTCTGGTGGCCGTGGTCGGAGCAGTGGGTTCTGGGAAGACGTCACTTGTTTCGGCTCTGCTGGGAGAATTGCACAGCATCAAGGGAAACATTAACATCAACGTGAGCAAACAGACTTTATCATGAACACACACGGATAGAAACACACACAGGGACTCATTATGAGCTATAAACGTTATCTAATCAGATTCCAAGAATGCAGTACTGGTAATTCATTTATGCTGCATTGTAAAATATTGATAATTGGATTACGGCCAGTTTGGAGATCAACAAAACAGTCTGCTAATTCTGGATTTATATGACTGCTATGGTTTATATTCGGTGGCAAAGTTACTGTGAAGCAGATCGAGAAAATAAAGTGCTACTGATGAACAGTTGTTTACAATTTGATGGTTTTTGTATATGAATTATTTAGATTTATTTTGTGTATATTTATTATATACCGTTGAATTCAGAATTATGAGCCCCGCTTGTTTATTATTTCCCCAATTTCTGTTTAATGCTGTTAAACACATTTCTAATCATAACAGTGTTAATAACTCATCTCTAATAGCTGATGTGTTTCCTCTTCTCCATGATGACAGCACATAATATTAGACTAGATCTTCTTCAAGACACTAGTGTTCAGCTTACAGTGGCATGTAAAGGCTTCACTAGGGTAATTAGGGTAAAGTTAGGGTAATTAGGCAAGTCATTGTATAACAGTGGTTTGTTCTGTAGACTATCGAAAAAAATAAAGCTTAAAGGGGCGAATAATATTGAGCTAAAAACAGCTTTAAAACAATTCAAAACTGCTTTTATTCTAGCCAAAATAAAACAAATCAGACTTTCTCCAGAAGAACAAATATTAGACTGTGAACAACTCCTGAATCTGTTCAACATCATTTGGGAAACATTTAAAGAAGAAAAAAAAAATCAAAGGGGGCGAATAATTCTGACTTCAACTATATATATATATATATATATATATATATATATATATATATATATATATATGCTTTTTTAAATTGTAAAAACTGCTGTGACCAATGTTATTAGCCACCTTAAGATTTTTAACCCAATTGTCTTCAGAACAAACCACTGTTGATTTGCACAACTAACCTTATGAAGCTGTAGTGAAGCCTTTAAATGTCACTTTAAGCTGAATACTAGTGTCTTGAAAATCTGTGAATGTACTGTCAATATGACTATGACTAAATTAATTAGTAATTAAAATTATTGTTTAAACGTGTTTAAAACTTTTAATCTGGGAAATAAATAGTAACAAGAATTTAAATTTCACATGAGGGTAAATAAAAACATGGATCTATTTTAATGCACTTGATCATTAAATTAGCAAAAGCAGTCAAATATGTAAATATGTCTATTACAATGACAAAAGAAGTGTTCAGAATATATCATTTACCTATATACAGTCATAATCATTGTGAATTTGTTTCTCTTTATCAAACATTTTTCAAATAATGTTGAACAGATTCAGGAGTTGTTCTCAGTGTTTCCTCTAATATTTGTTCTTCTGGAGAAAGTCTGATTTGTTTTATTTGGGCTAGAATAAAAGCAGTTCTTAATAATGTTAAAGTCATGTTAAGCTCAATATTATTCACCCCTTCAGCAATATTAGTGTTGGATTGTCTCCAGAACAAACCACTGTTATACAATGACTTGCCTAATTACCCTAACTTTACCCTAATTACCCTAGTGAAGCCTTTACATGTCACTATACGCTGAACACTAGCGTCTTGAAGAACATCTAGTCTAATATTATGTGCTGTCATCATGATGAAGAGGAAACACATCAGTTATTAGAGATGAGTTATTAAAGCTATTATTATTAGAAATGTGTTAAAATTATTTGTAAAATAATTAAAATTCAACAGGAGGACTAATAATTCTGATTTAACTGTATATAGCTGATATAAATAAATATATGTGTGTGTGTGTTTTATCTCAGGGCTCGGTGGCGTATGTGCCTCAGCAGGCCTGGATCCAGAACGCCACATTAAAGGACAATATTTTATTCGGTTCTTCAGTGGATGAGGAGCGATATCAGTCTGTGATTAAAGCCTGCGCTCTCGAGCCAGACCTGGACCTGTTGCCGGGACGAGACCAGACCGAGATTGGAGAAAAGGTGAAAGTTGACCCTCATACAGTCGCCTTCCTTCAACAATGCAACACACTCCTCAATGCATTGCTTTCTGTGTTATGTAGGACAGAGGCAAATAGCGAAGTAGCATTGTGTACCGTTGTTAACGTCAGCTCAAACCAAGCATGACAATGATGATTTTAGTTTATCTCTGTCTTTATTAATGCACGTTGGTCAGAGAGTTTCAGGATCAAATATAAAGAATCAGAGAGACTGATCAGTTGTTCCAACTCATGAGCAGAAATCAAAACTAGTTCACATGTTCTTCCTCTCTGAACTGAACTGTACAATACATGTCTGTTTTTGCATCAAAGATAATGATCGTTTTAAACATGACAGCAACATTCAGACTTTATAATGAGGTTTGGTAACACAATATAATAACTGCTGTGTTATATTCGTTATGCATTGCTGTCATTAAACTACATGTCTGTTGAATGCGTGATTCTGATTGGCTGATGAACATTTCTAAGGTGTGCAGCTACAGTAGACAATAAAAGCATTATCTTTATAGTTATCATGCTCGGTGTGAACAGCACTTTATTTATATGAGCAGCTTTAGGAAAGACTGTGCTTTATTATCTGTGTTATAGGGCATTAATCTGAGCGGTGGGCAGAAGCAGAGGGTGAGCCTGGCGCGGGCCGTCTACAGCTCTGCAGATGTGTATTTGCTGGATGATCCTCTGTCCGCCGTAGACTCACATGTGGGAAAACATCTGTTTGAGAAAGTGATCGGGCCCAATGGACTGCTCAGAGACAAGGTAGCACATTATAAACTATAACAAACTCACTCACAATTTATAAAAGAGAGCATTTATTCAGAACCCCCAGCCAGCCTTCTCTATCTGCCTTACAAAACATCTTGCTGCTGTACTTACAAACATATTTGCACATTATTCCTGCATGAAGATCAACTATAGTGATTCATAGTGAATACTGTAGTGTATTTGAACCATAATACATGAATGAACTTGTTGTGATGATTTTACAGTTGCTATGGTAACACAACAACTACAATAATAGATGCGTTGTGGTGAGTCTACAGTCGCTATGATAACATAACTATAGTAATTGATCTGCTGTGGGGATTCTACAGTTGCTATGGTAACACAACAACTATAGTAATTGATTTGTTGTGGTGATTCTACAGTTGCTATGGTAACACAACAACTACAATAAATGTCCTGCTGTGTTGATTCTACAGTTGCTATGGTAACACAACAGCTACATTAATTGTCCTGCTGTGTTGATTCTACAGTTGCTATGGTAACACAACAACTACAATAATAGATGTGTTGTGGTGATTCTACAGTTGCTATGGTAACACAACAACTACAATAATAGATGTGTTGTGGTGATTCTACAATTGCTATGGTAACACAACAACTATAGTAACTTATGTGTTGTTATGATTCTACTGTTGCTATGGTAACAAAACTATAGTAATTAACCTGCTGTGGTGATTCCACAGTTGCTATGGTAACACGACAACTACAGTAATTGATGTGTTGTGGTGATTCTACAGTTGCTATGGTAACACAACAACTACAATAATATATGTGTTGTGGTGATTCTACAGTTGTTATGGAAACACAACAACTATAGTAATTGTTGTGTTGTTATGATTCTACAGTTGCTATGGTAACAAAACTATAGTAATTAATCTGCTGTGGCGATTATACAGTTGCTATGGTAACACAACAGCTACATTAATTGTCGTGCTTTGGTGATTCTACAGTTGCTATGGTAACACAACAACTGTTTGAAGAAATAATAAGTCACAATGGGGTAAGCAACATAATTTTATTCCAAAGCAAAACTAGTTTACTTTACTCACCCCAATTTTTATATTTTTGGATTAGAAACAAGACAAAGCTAGTAAGAAAAGTAAAATAAAGAACTGTTTAGTTATTATTACTGTATAATTTAATTTTACATTACTTTGAAGGTTGAATTTGGGGTTGGGGTAAGGGTTCGGCTGCAGCTGTATCCCTTCTAGCAACAACCAATGTTTCTATAGGGAATTAATGCAAGATCCATATATAACCCAATCTAGGCTTTCCTTTAGACTCTTCATTAGTTCTTTATACAGTAATGAATGGTTGAGTTATTTGTTTACTTAATCATCTGTGATATTAATTAACAATACATGCATATTAAAAGCATGTGTTGTAATTCTGACCAGCTTCTGGAGTGTAAACTGATCTCTGCAGCACACTGTATTCCAGCATTCCTCTTCAGTGGTAATGTTATATTGAGTCAATTATTTTGCTCTCCTATTCTCTCCGTCTCTGCAGACTCGTATCTTGGTAACTCATGGAATCAGCTTCTTGCCGTATGTAGATGAGATTGTAGTGTTGGTGCATGGCGTCGTGTCTGAGATCGGATCATACGAAAGTCTTCGAGCCAGTAAAGGAGCTTTCTCTGAGTTTCTGGAGACGTACGGCAAAGACGAGAGCAACAAAGACAATGACAAAAAAGGTGTGCATCTTCCACCTGAGCTTCAAATATTGTCCTCCTGATGTTTAAAATGTAAATCTGAAGTTGAAGACTGTGTGCTTCATCTGCTGACATGTGGCAGAAATGTATTAGACAAGAAACCCTAATCTGATGGCTTCTACAGTGTGTAATGATTGTGCTCTCTTGATGAAACAGCAGCAGCAGCTCAGACACCAGTGTATGAAGAGATTGAGACGCTGCCGGAGGGCTTGGAGACGCAGGCTGATGGATCTCCAGAAGACATTGTTTCCAGTACATTAAAGAGAGAAAACAGTCTGCGCCACAGCCAGCGGCACTCCAAGAGGAACGGAAGGTATGAACAGTTAGATATTTCTGTCTTGTTTCTAGTCCAAATATCTAAATAAGAAAAGCATTTTTACAGTGTATATAACTATTAGCATCCACAGCAACTAACAACATATTTAACAATACCAATAGTAATGCCTACACCTATAGATAGTTACTATACTGTAGCAATAACTGTATTAGCATCAACATCAATAGATGCTAACTACCATAACAGTATAAGTGTCTACACCAGCAGATGTAACTATAACTATATTAGCGCCCACACCAGCAGATGCTAACTATAATGATAACTATATCAACGTCCACCCCCACAGTTAACTATAACAATAACTATATTTGTGTCCACACCAGCAAATGTTAACTATAACAATAACTATATTAGCATCCGCATCAAAAAAGCTAACTATAACAATAACTATATTAGCGTCCACATATACAGATGTTAACTTGAATGATAACTATATTAGTGTCCACATCAACAGATGCTAACAATAACCATAATGTTATTAGCATCCACACCAATTGATGCTAACTATAACGATAACTATATTAGTGTCTACACCAACAAATGATAACTATAACAATAACTATATTAGCGTCCACATCAACAAACGATAACTATAACAATAACTATATTAGCGTCCACATCAACAAACGATAACTATAACAATAACTATATTAGCGTCCATATCAACAGATGCTAATTATGACAATAACTATATTAGCGTCCATTCCAACAAACGATAACTATAACAATAACTATATTAGCGTCTACACCAACAAACGATAACTATAACAATAACTATATTAGCGTCCATATCAACCGATGGTAACTATAACGATAACTATATTAGCGTCCATATCAACAGATGGTAACTATAACGATAACTATATTGGCGTCCATTCCAACAAACGATAACTATAACAATAACTATATTAGCGTCTACACCAACAAACGATAACTATAACAATAACTATATTAGCGTCCATATCAACAGATGGTAACTATAACGATAACTATATTAGCATCCATATCAACAGATGGTAACTATAACGATAACTATATTGGCGTCCATTCCAACAAACGATAATTATAACAATAACTATATTAGCGTCCATATCAACAGATGGTAACTATAACGATAACTATATTAGCGTCCATATCAACAGATGGTAACTATAACGATAACTATATTAGCGTCCATATCAACAGATAGTAACTATAACGATAACTATATTGGCGTCCATTCCAACAAACGATAATTATAACAATAACTATATTAGCGTCCATTCCAACAAACGATAACTATAGCAATAACTATATTAGCATCTACATCAACCAACGATAACTATAACAATAACTATATTAACGTCCACAACAACAAACCATAACTATATTAGTGATCACACCAATTAACGATAACTTTATCAGTGCACACACTAATAAATGAAAACTATAACGATAACTATAATAGCCTCCACATCAACAGATGCTAACTGTAACAAAAACTATATTAGCATCCATATCAACAAACGATTACTATAACGATAACTATATTAGCGTTCACATCAAGAGATGCTAACTATAACGATAACTGTATTAGCGTCTACACCAAAAGATGCTAACTGTAATGATAACTACATTAGCATCCACATCAATAGATGCTTACTATAATGATAACTATGTTAACATCCACACCAACCAGTGTGGTTTTATTCACAAATGTACCTCTATGTGTGTGTTTATGTTTTATCTTCAGTGTGAAGGTCAGAAAAAACAGCTCTCTTCGCGCTCAGAAAGATCCGGAGGATAAGAAGGGTCAGCGACTGATTGAGAAAGAGATGATGGAGACTGGAAGGGTACCTGAACACTTTTTCAGTTCTCTATCTTTTGTTTTTCACTTTCCCTCGCTAATGTTGTGTATTTATTTTGTGCTCCAGGTGAAGTTTTCAGTGTATCTGCAGTACCTGAGCGCCATGGGCTGGTGGTACGTGGGCTTCAGCTTCGTCTTTTACTTCATCCAGAACGTGGCTGTGATCGGACAGAACCTGTGGCTCAGCGACTGGACCGACGATTCTATAGAGTATTTCAACCAAACCTACCCCAACCACATCAGAGACACCAGGATAGGGGTTTTTGGAGCCCTTGGATTAGCACAAGGTATACGCTGGAGAGAAACTAGGTCGCTCATTAGTTTTTTTTGTGTTTCTAAAAGCTGTGCTAACTACAGGCTAGTTTTAACAGTACATGGTGATCTAGGCTAGCTTTTACAGCAGACGGTGCTCTAGGCAAGTTTTTAACAGCAGATGGCGTTATAGGCTAACAGTAGATGGCTCTTTAGGTCAGTTCAATCATAACAGTTGATGGCGCTCTAGGTTAGGTTTTTACAGCTGATGGCACTCTAAGCTAACAGTAGATGGCGCTCTAGGCTAGTTTTTAAACAGTAGATGGCGCTCTAGGCTAGTTTATAACAGTAGATGACGCTCTAGGCTAGTTTATAACAGTAGATGGCGCTCTAGGCTAGTTTATAACAGCAGACGGTGCGCTAAGCTAGTTTATAACAGCAGACGGCGCTCTAGGCTAGTTTATAACAGTAGACGGCGCTCTAGGCTAGTTTATAACAGCAGATGGGGCTCTAGGCTAGTTTATAACAGCAGATGGCGCTCTAGGCTAGTTTATAACAGTAGACGGCGCTCTAGGCTAGTTTATAACAGCAGATGGCGCTCTAGGCTAGTTTATGACAGTAGACGCCGCTCTAGGCTGGTTTATAACAGCAGATGGCGCTCTAGGCTAGTTTATAACAGTAGACGGCGCTCTAGGCTAGTTTATAACAGCAGATGGCGCTCTAGGCTAGTTTATAACAGTAGACGGCGCTCTAGGCTAGTTTATTACAGCAGATGGGGCTCTAGGCTATTTTATAACAGTAGACGGCGCTCTAGCCTAGTTTATAACAGCAGATGGCGCTCTAGGCTAGTTTATAACAGCAGATGGCGCTCTAGGCTAGTTTATAACATCAGATGGCACTCTAGGCTAGTTTATGACAGTAAATGGTGCTCTAGGCTAGTTTATAACAGTAGACGGCGCTCTAGGATAGTTTATAACAGCAGATGGCGCTTTAGGCTAGTTTATGACAGTAGATGGTGCTCTAGGCTAGTTTATGACAGTAGATGGTGCTCTAGGCTAGTTTATAACAGTAGATGGCACTCTAGGCTAGTTTATAAAAGTAGACGGCGCTCTAGGCTAGTTTATATCAGCAGATGGCGCTTTAGGCTAGTTTATGACAGTAGATGGTGCTCTAGGCTAGTTTATGACAGTAGGTGGTGCTCTAGGCTTGTTTTTAACAGCAGACGGTGCTCTAAGCTGAAAGTAGATGGTGGTACAGGCTAGTTCATACCAGAACATACCAGAAGATGGTGCTGTAGGCGAGTGTTTATTACCAGATACTGCTCTAGACTAACAGTAGATGGTGGTCTAGGCTAGTTTTCAACAATATATGGCTGTCTAGGCTAGTTTTTGCCAGCAGACGGACGGCGCTCTTGGCTAGTGTTTATCTTATTGGTAACTCTATTAAAAATTATTATCAATTTCCACCATGTTGGCTGATCAGATGTGATTGTGTGTCTTTCTCTCTGTCTGTCAGGTTTTCTGGTGTTTTTCGGGACTATACTCCTCGCTGATGGGTCCATCTCTGCATCCAGGACTCTACACACAAGCCTGCTGACTAACATTCTTAAAGTCCCCATGATGTTCTTCGACACCACACCTTCAGGACGAATCGTCAATCGATTTGCCAAGGTATTGATTTGAGCGGTGGCGAAAATTTGTGAGAAATCGTTTCTGAGATTTTTAAAATGCATCGATTTTCTCTTTTAAATGGATTTTCAGCTAGTTTATAACAACAGATGGCGCTCTAGGCTAGTTTATAACAACAGATGGCGCTCTAGGCTAGTTTATAACAACAGATGGCGCTCTAGGCTAGTTTATAACAACAGATGACGGAGCTCTAGGCTAGTTTATAACAACAGATGACGGAGCTCTAGGCTAGTTTATAACAACAGATGGCGCTCTAGGCTAGTTTATAACAGCAGATGGCGCTCTAGGCTAGTTTATAACAGCAGATGGCACTCTAGGCTAGTTTATAACAGCAGACGGAGCTCTAGGCTAGTTTATAACAGCAGACGGTGCTCTAGAATAGCTTTTAACAACAGACATTGCTCTAGGCTAGCTTATAACTAGTTTATAAGTAAATATTTAAAACTTCCTAAACTGAAATGTGTCTTGAATGCAGGATATATTCACTGTGGACGAGATGATCCCGATGTCCTTCAGGTCCTGGATCCTCTGTCTTCTTGGAGTTCTGGGAACTCTGTTCGTCATCTGTCTGGCTACTCCAATCTTCACTGCGGTTGTTGTACCGATGGCTGTTGTCTACTACTTTGTGCAGGTAACACAGATACCAGTATTGACGAAAACTGTTATATCAGTGGTGGACAGTGAATATATATTTCATTAAAACAAGCTAAATAGTTTGCTAATGGAGTCAGAAATGTAGTATTATTTCAAAGTGAAAACTAGATTATTTTGCTTAGCCCGTTGTCAGTTTATTCTGCTTGTTTTAAGGGAAAACTAATTTTGCCTCATTATTTCTAAAAACAAGATTATACATTTAACCTGTCCAGAACATGCTTCTTGGTTTAAGATTTTTTTAGATATTTAGACTAGAAACATGATAAAACCTCAATGAGAAATGGTTTTAAATCAAATAAATTCTTCTTGTGTTGTAGAGGTTTTACGTGGCCACGTCTCGGCAGCTCAGACGACTGGACTCGGTGTCTCGATCTCCCATATACTCACACTTTGGAGAAACCGTATCCGGCCTGTCCGTGATAAGGGCGTATGGACACCAGGACCGCTTCCTAAAGCACAACGAGGACACCATAGACCAGAACCTGAAGAGTGTTTATCCATGGATTGTTTCCAATAGGTCAGAATTAGTACTGCAATCATTAAAGATAACCTATTATGCAAAAACCACTGTTATAAGGGGTATAAGTGTGTGAATATCTCCAGCCTCTAATGCTCATTATTTCCTTTTTAAAATTGTATTTATCTCCAGTTATAGAGTATCCTCTAATCTTCCCTCAGCATGTTTGACTGTCCGCTGTAAAAGTGCATTTCCCTCTGTTGTAGTGTTTGCAGTGTGGCTGTGCACTTCAATTTTTCACTTTCACTTTGCTTTTCTCTGTCAGAATAGCTGAATCTGGAGTGTGTTTGTTGTTTGCAGGTGGTTGGCCATGCGTTTGGAGTCTCTGGGGAATCTGGTGGTGTTTTTCGCAGCTCTGTTTGCTGTCATCTCCCGAGACTCTCTGAACAGCGGACTGGTCGGACTGTCCATCTCATACGCTTTAAATGTAAATGCTTAAATCTGATGTATTTATGACAGTCAGCTGAAAGAACTTCCTATTAAGTAGCATATCTGTGTCTTTATTAGGTGACGCAGACGCTGAACTGGCTGGTGAGAATGACGTCTGAACTGGAGACCAACATCGTAGCTGTGGAAAGAGTGAGAGAGTATGCCGAGATCCAAAATGAGGTGCAGTAAAACAACATTCATTCATTTTCCTTCAGCGCAGTCTCTTATTCATCAGGGATCACCACAGTGGAATGAACCGCCAACTATTCCAGCATATGTTTATGCAGCAGATTCCCTTCCAGCTGCAATACAGTGCTGGGAAACACCCAAACACACTCATTCACACCCACACTCATACACTACAGCCAATTTAGTTGATCAGTTCCCCTATAGCGCATGTGTTTGGACTGTGGGGGAAACCGGAGCACCCAGAGGAAACCCACACCAACACGGGGAGAACATGCAAACAGTGCTAACCACTGAGCCACCCTCTTATTTATTTATTTACTTTTTAATTAATTCAGTATATTGTAGTTAATTATTCTCTTCATGTTCAGACATCTTTCAGGTCTTTGTCTTTAAACTGATGTATATTTATTATTCTGAAGGTGAGCAGTTAAGTTAATCCACTGGAAAACTGGTTTGTTTTGGTAATTTTCAATCCAAGTCTGCTCGTCTGCTTCTGGAACAGCAGTCCTTCTCTGATCATGTCAGTTTGACTATGATTGGATGAAATATCCTAAGCCACACCCCTTAAACCATTAGTTTGCTGTAAGTGAAAGATAAGAGGTGGAGCTCAAAAATAAAACCCCGCCTCCTACTCAATATTCAGCTTCGCTTGGAAATGCATGACATCAGTGATGGGAAGTTTGAATCATGTTACTCATTCTGATATAAAAGTGTGCAGCACTTATAAACACATTCAATAAAAATCTCTGACATTCACAAAAACGTGTACAGGTAACTGGATAAAGTGTTGGTCGGGTGATTGTAGTGTGTGTGTGTTTGTGTCTGCAGGCTCCGTGGGTCACCAGTGTTCGTCCTCCTGATGATTGGCCCTCTGCTGGAAACATCCGCTTTGAAGACTACAAAGTTCGCTACCGTCCAGAACTGGAGCTCGTCCTCCACGGGGTCACCTGTGACATTCAGAGCACAGAGAAGGTCAGGAGAATCTAGTCCTTGTGTGCTGTTCAGATTGACTTCTCTTTGGTGATGTTGCTGCTGTTTTTGCTGCATTGACTTCTATTATAATCACATTTATTGATTGCGAAGCCGTGACAGCAGATCATCAAGCATTCTTGAGTGCTGCTGGTTTCCCCTGTTGGGATTAAGAGGGACAGTGTGTCATGTATACTGTTGATCATCAGTGTGCAGCATTAACCCTTTAAAACTTCAAATATATGGGCTGAATAATGTTATTTCAAAGTGAAAACAAGATTATTTCTCCTCCCCATTGTTTGATTATTTTGCTTGTTTTAAGAAAAAACGTGCTTAATTTTGATGCATTATTTCTAAAAAACAAGACACTATTTTGTTCCTGTCAAGAAAATGCTTCATGATTTCAGAATTTGTAGATATTTTGACTAGAAATGAGACAAAAACTCTTAAGTATTGAAAACCTTTTCTGCAGTGTAGTTCTATATCTGTTTCTATCCTAGTTGTATTTACCGTATTTCACAGTGAAAATGCAGGGTTAATTAAACATCGCTCATTTTTGTTGGTACACTGTTAACAGTGTTTGCATCTGACACAGTATTTAACTGAAATATGAACGGTATGTTACCATATTTTAAAGTTGCATTGTGTAACTTACTGTATGTTTCACAATAAAGATATACAATACTGTATATATATATATATATATATATATATATATATATATATATATATATATATATATATAGAACAAGATAAATGGTGCTGTAAATGTAAATACTGTATTTTTGCTGTAATTGATTTACAGTGAGTTGCTGTATAGATTCTACATGAAATTGTTAACAGTGTATTTATTTTATCTAACTGAACCCAGATTGGCATCGTGGGTCGCACTGGAGCAGGTAAATCCAGCCTGACCAACTGTTTGTTCCGCATCGTTGAAGCTGCGGACGGTCGAATCCTCATCGATGATATCGATATTGCCACGCTGGGACTCCATGATCTGCGCAGTCGACTGACCATCATTCCTCAGGTGCAGCAACATTAATAACACAGCAGATAATAAAGGTTTGAGGAGAGATTTTCTTTTGTATAGGGTTTACCAATCTGGGTTTATATTCACAAAACATTTGTCATGACCATTAAAGTCCTTGTCAAATGAAGCCAAGATTATAGAATGTTAGTATCAGGATGTTAGTTTTAAGCATATCTATAATTCAGTGTCTCCAAAACTGAAAAAACTCACATTACAAAGATATAAGCCTGATATAAACATCTAAAGCTTGCAGTTTGTCACTACTTCTGGATTACATTTAGATTACCATTATAGTAATGTAATCTGACTACTTCTGGATTACATTTAGATTACCATTATAGTAATGTAATCTGACTACTTCTGGATTACATTTAGATTGCCATAATAGTAACATACGCTGACTATTTTTGGATTACATTTAGATTACTTTTATAGTAACATACTCTGGCTACTTTTGGATTACATTTAGATTACTTTTATAGTAACATACTCTGGCTACTTTTGGATTACATTTAGATTACTTTTATAGTAACATACTCTGGCTACTTTTGGATTACATTTAGATTACCATTATAGTAATGTAATCTGACTACTTTCGGATTACATTTAGATTACTTTTATAGTAAGCATCTTTGTGCATGTGTAATGCTGAGTGTGTGTTTCCTCCAGGACCCAGTGCTGTTCTCCGGGACGCTGCGGATGAATCTGGACCCGTTTCAGACCTTCAGCGATGCGGAGATCTGGAGTGTCCTGGAGCTGGCCCATCTCAAAGAATACGTCAGGGGTTTACCAACAGGACTTGAACATGAGGTGTCGGAGGGAGGAGAGAATCTGAGGTGTGTGCACTTTACGAATATATGATATGGAACACGTTTAATGACCTCCACTGCACTAGGACAAATATTAACATGCAAGACATTGATATTAAAATATAATGCTGCCTTTGTGCCTTTATTAACTTTTATCTCAAATATTTACTATTTTGTGTGTGTAGTCTGGGTCAGAGGCAGCTGTTGTGTTTAGCTCGAGCTCTGCTTCGTAAATCTCGAATCCTGATTCTGGATGAAGCGACAGCAGCGGTGGATCTGGAGACGGACGATCTCATCCAGAGCACCATTCGCAGAGAGTTCTCCCACTGCACTGTCCTGACCATTGCACACCGCCTCAACACCATCCTGGACAGCTCACGGTCAGCACACACACACACATCCGCACAGAGTTCTCCCTCTGCACCATACATTACATTCCTGGTAATGTAATCAGACTACATTTGGATTACAATTGGATTACTTTTATAGTAACGTAACCAGACTACTTTTGGATTACAATCAGATTACTCTTATAGTATCGTAATCGGACTACTTTTGGATTACATATAGATTACTTTCATAGTAATGTAATCGGACTACTTTTGGTTTACATCCAGACTACTTTTATAGTATCGTAATCTGACTACTTTTGAATAACATTCAGATTACTTTTATAGTATCGTAATCTGACTACTTTTGGATTACATTTAGATTACTTTCATAGTAATGTAATCTGACTACTTTTGGATTACATTTAGAGGATTTTAAAATTTAGATTACTTTTGTAGTAATTTGATCTGACAACTTTTGGATTACATTTAGATTACCAATAATCTGACCAATAATCTGACTACTTTTATATTACATTTAGTTTACTTTTATAGTAATGTATTTTGATTACTTTTGGATTACATTTAAATTACTTTAATAGTAATGTTATCTGACACCTTTGGGTTACATTTAGACTACTTTTATAGTATCGTAATCGGACTACTTTTGAATAACATTCAGATTACTTTTATAATATCGTAATCTGACTACTTTTGGATTACATTTAGATAATTTTTATAGTAATGTAATCTGACTGCTTTTGGATTAGATTTTGAGATTTTTAAATTTTGATTACTTTTATAGTAATTTGATCAGACAACTTTTGGATTACATTTAGATTACTTTTATAATATCGTAATCTGACTACTTTTGGATTACATTTAGATTACTTTTATAGTAATGTAATCTGACTACTTTTGGATTACATTTAGATTACTTTATAGTAATGTAATCTGACTACTTTTGGATTATATTTAAATTACTTTATAGTAATGTAATCTGACTACTTTTGGATTACATTTAGATTACTTTATAGTAATGTATTCTGATTACTTTTGGATTACATCTAAACTTGTAATTTAGATTACATCTAAATTACTTTTGGATTAGATATTACTTTAATAGTAACGTAATCTGACTAATTTTTAATTACATTTTGAGTATTTTTACAGTAACAAAATCTGATTAATTTTGGATTACATTTAGATTACTGTTATAGTAACGTAATCAACGTTACAATGCTTGTGTGCAGCTTATGTTACTCTGATCTTTCATTGGTCTGTTGTAGAGTGATGGTGTTGGATTCTGGAAAGATCGTGGAGTTTGATTCTCCCAATGAACTGCTGAGCAAACCTGGACATTTCTCCTCCATGGCTGAAGATGCTGGAATCAGAAGAGAAGAAGAGCAGAGCCAATCATACGTCTTCTGAACGCTTCATTTGCATAAAGATCAAACATTATTAAATATTAAGGAATTGTATTACTTCTTCTTTCTAATCCAGCTGTTTTTGTTGTAGTCTTTTAATTTCATCCAGCTTTTTATGTTATTATTATTATTATTTTGCATTTATGTTGTTGTTGTTGTATTGTGACAATAAAGTGTATTAAATTATATTATACAATGTCATCTTTATAGAGAATCAAATGAACTCTGTTGTGTTTTTAGTGCATATTGAGGTTATTCAACCCTCTTATTTATTGCATTTCTTCCTAATTTGGCTTTGGGTGAAATAATAACTTTGGATTTTGCTTTCTGATCCAGCCAAAATATTAATAACAGCTTTCTACAAATGCAATATAGTGAATGAGAACTGCACGTTTCCCCTCAGACAGTCTTACATTATGTGATGGATTTACATTGATGCACAATATAGTGCTTTAATCTTTGAGATCATTTTGTTTTGCATTACAAAATGAAATCTGAGGAGCTTAAAGCTGATTGGTTGTGTTTTGGTGAATTAGCATATGCATGAAGGATTGTAGGTGACTGTGAATCTCATTTCACTGTGCACATTTGTAGTATTTAAGGCAGTCCAATTACAAATACAGACTGTGTGATTGTGCAGATGTTTACACTGGCTAACTGCAAACACATGCCATGAATTTTGTGAATTACAATAATGGCATTAAAATAGTTTGCTAATTGTTTACTTGGCAACAAAAGTAGCCCAATAGCCAATCAAGCTAGCCCAATAATAATAATGACATTCAAAATAACCCACTCTAGTGTTGCTAGAAGTAATACAGCTGTGGCTAGTAGTTAAACCCAACCATCACAGTGATGTTAAAACAGTCATTATACAGAGTATTATAGATATTATTTATTAAACTAACCAATAATTTTATTTTATTAATGTTCATTACCACCCCAACTCAAACCCAACCCTCACAGTGATGTAAAAACAGTAATTATAACAAATATATTAATATTATTTACTAAATTTCCCATTAATTGTATTGTATTAATGTCTACACCTACCGTAACCTTAAGTTACCCTCACAGCGATGTAAAGACAGTAATTATACAGAGTATTATTAATATTAATTATTAAATTAGCCATTAATTCTATTTTAATAACGTCTGCAACTACCCCAACACTCTCGCAGAAATGTAAAAACAGTGATGAGAATTGTTCTTATTATTTATATTAAATTATCCATGAAATTGTGATTAAATAATTAAGAAACGGCAGTGTTTCTGTGATGATGTTAGCTTCATGGATTGGGTGAAATATATTTAGCCACACCCTTTCCAAACTATTAATATAGAATATTAAGTAGGAGGGCGGGGCTTTCTTGAACACATCATTACCTCATGTCAGTCATAGGGGCGTGGCTAAGAATATTGTAAATGATGTCATCTGAATAATCCAAATGATGAAGCAGACAATTGAAGACTACTAAAACAGATTAATTGTTAAATTGTTAATTAATCTAAAGAATAACAATCTGCACTAGCTAGATAAATGAAAATTTTCACATGGGTGTATTACTTTTAACATGTGTCCTTTTTGCTTTCTATTCTTAGACAAAAAAACTGACCCTCTAATGCTTATAATTATTGTCTTATAATTTTTACATTTATTTTCTGTATAAAAAATCTTATATTTATTATTTTTTAAAATAATTCTATTATATTTAGGAAGCTATGCTAACCTAAAAGCTTCAAGAATTACTTTAGAAAAGAGTCATAAAGAATGATCTTTATACACTCAACGGCCACTTCATTAGGTACACCTCTCCAACTGCTCGTTAACTCAAATTTCTAATCAGCCAATCACATGGCAGCAGCTCACTGCATTTAGGCATGTAGACATGGTCAAGAGGATCTGCTGCAGTTCAAATTGAGCATCAGAATGGGGAAGAAAGGGGATTTAAGAGACTTTGAACGTGGCATGGTTGTTGCTGCCAGACGGGCTGCTCTGAGTATTTCAGAAACTGCTGATCTACTGGGATTTTCACGCACAACCATCTCTAGGGTTTACAGAGAATGCTCCGACAAAGAGGAAATATCCAGTGAGCGGCAGTTCTGTGGGCGCAAATGCCTTGTTGATGAGGTCAGAGGAGAATGGCCAGACTGGTTCCAGCTGATAGAAAGGCAACAGTAACTCAAATAAGCACTCGTTACAACCGAGCTCTGCAGAAGAGCATCTCTGAACACACAACACGTCCAACCTTGAGGCGGATGGGCTACAGCAGCAGAAGAGCACACCGGGTGCCGCTCCTGTCAGCTAAGAACAGGAAACTGAGGCTACAATTCACACAGACTCACCAAAACTGGACAATAGAAGATTGGAGAAACGTTGCTGCTCTGATGAGTCTCCATTTCTGCTGACACATTCGGATGCTCGGCTCACAATTTGGCCTGAACAACATGAAAGCATGGATCATCCTGCCTTGTATCAGCGGTTCAGGCTGCTGGTGGAACGTACAGCAGGATCATCTCTGTGCTGCGTGTATACTAGGGGGCGCTAAAAATTCTGACTATGGCCAAAGAAAACCACAGAAGAAGAAGTGGAAACGAAGAAGAGTGTGCGGGAGGCTGGGCATGTTGGTTACATGACAGGTTTTGTAATATATTATTTTCCAGTAAATAACAGCGCTGGTGTATCTGTGAGCTCGGGATCATGATGCTGCTCAGGCTGGCCATGTGTCGCTGTCAGGCGGGGAGAAACTTACAGCAGATACAGGTACAAACACACACTCTGACATCCATACAGTCACAAACCGCTGAATTAATTAAACATAATAATTATAATAACACAATTATACATTAATGTCCAGCAGCACACACCCACATCAGTGTCTGGAAATATGAATGTAGAGTGTGTATGACGGCTGAACTCATGTCACGGGTTTATAATGCAGTTCATAATGGAGTAAACATGTCAACTTGACCTTGTCTTGATGAATATATTTACTTAAACTACGTTTTTAAACTACTGTTGACTGTTAGAAACGTCCTATAGTTCTATTAGCTATATCAATCATACACTAAACCTTTATTATCATCATTATTAAAGGCCTCGTGATATTAAAATAAAGTTGTTTAGATGTTAGTATCAGTGTGTAAGTGTCGCCAAAAGAGTGACATAAATCGCTTTTAGAAGATTTAAACATGATATAAACATCCAAAGTTTGCAGTTTCTTTCTTTCTTTCTTTCTTTCTTTCTTTCTTATTCCATTACAAGAACTATAGCATACAAAAAAAAGGAATAACATTTCCATGCTTACAATTTTTTTCACATCAAAGGAACAAATCAGTAGAGAATAAAAAACAAAAGATAAATAAATAAATATATATATATATATATATATATATATATATATATATATATATATATATATATATATATATATAAATTACAATAAATTCACATATGAAAAAGATTCCAAATTTGCATACATCCTTATAGCTTTTTGGGGATTTCGATATAATTATGCTTAGGATCATTCATTCATTCATTCATTTTCTTGTTTTGGCGTAGTCCCATTATTAATCTGGGGTCACCACAGCGGAATGAACCGCCAACTTATCCTGCAAGTTTTTACGGAGTGGATGCCCTTCCAGCTGCAACCCATCTCTGGGAAACATCTACACACATTCACACTCATACACTACAGACAACTTCCCAATTGACCTGTACCGCATGTCTTTGGACTGTGGGGAAAACCCACGCGAACGCAGGGAGAACATGCAAACTCCACACAGAAACGCCAACTGAGCTGAGGCTCGAACCAGCGACCCAGCGACCTTCTTGCCTACCTACTGTGCCACCGCTTCGCCCTGCTTAGGATCAATTTTAGCAAATAACTATTAGGCTTCTCATTGGACTATATTTGTTTGTGTACATGATACTTCCCATATATTATCATGAGGTTAATCAACACATTTTGCTTCAAAGTTTTGTTATTGTATATTAATACGATCCCCTCGTTTGGGTCGCAACATAAAAGAGCTCAGACAACAAAAGGATCTATATGCAACTTATTTATTACAAATCAATATTATACAAATCAAGGAGCAAACAAATGTCTAGGGATAGATAAAGAACTTAAGATATAATCACAACTAACTTTAACTACATGATGTAAATAATGCAAAACGAAACCATAAGGTTACAGATTTAAAGAGATGGTCTTGACACGAGGGAAGCAAGCACAACACCCTTATTTATATGATTTAAACCAATTGGTGAGCAAGCAGACACCCCTTCTTCTCATTGGCTGTTCATTTGATGCGCTTGAGTTCAACCACTCCCACTGGCAGAGCTGTGCGAAAAACTAACTGCTATTGGTTGTATGTTTTTTACTGTTGTGTGTGTGTGTGTCTTTCTATCTGTGTGTGTGTGTTCTAGCGGACTCCCCTGCGGCAGTGGCTTCTGCAGCGAGGACAGAATACAGTGAGCTCGGGTGCAGCATCCGTAGGGTCAGTCTCCATCGGCAGCGCCGCCTCAGACCGGCTGATAGGCCGCTGGCTGCTGGGCTGCAGTGGGCTGGTGCTGGGGGCCGTGGTGCTGGGCGGAGTTACCAGGTACAACACACACACACCCACACCACTGGAGGAAGCCTAGGGGTGATCATATGAGGTCATTTTATACCTATAATCCTGGTCTGTTGAATGCTAGATTCTGATCAGCTGATGGTCACTTAAAGGCAGGGGTGTCAAACTCAATTCCTGGAGGGCCGCAGCTCTGCACAGTTTACTTCTAAGCCTGCTTCAACGCACTGACCTGAAGGTTTCAAGCAAGTCTGAAGGACTCAATTAGTTTGATTAAGTGTGTTTAATTAGGGTTAATGCTAAACTGTGCAGAGCTGCGGCCCTCCAGAAACTGAGTTTGACACCTGTGCGCTAAGGTGTTATTCTCAGGCACAGCTAAAGTAGTTCCGGCAGGTGTTGAGTGCATTGCAGCTCTATATCACTCCGCTGAATGATTTGAGTTAATTCACAGAGACAAAAGTGTAATTTAAAAGTGATTTTTACATTTATTTCACAGATGTTATGTGTAAATATGCCATTATTTACTATGTATTTATTTACATACAATCCAGAAGAGAGAACTATTTTTTGTTTGTCTAGAAAATAGTTCTTGATTTAAGAATTTTTAGTTAAGTTGTTGAGACAGT